CAATGTAAGCTCCCTTCCAGAAAAACGAACGCCCTTCATGGCATGCTCGCGAAGAAAGATCACTACCACTACACCATGCCGCCGTTGCGGCGTAAGGGTGCTTCCCGGCTATTCATGCGAATTGGCTGGCAACCGCGCTCGACTCCGTTTTCCTTCATTTTAATTCTAACAAACCTTCATAATTCCTTTCAGAGAATCGTTCTGCAAATTTCGAAGGCAGATTTGAAATCAGCGTTCAAAAACACGTCCCGTGATATACGTCTCTTTACAAATGGCCACTTCGACCTGGCGACCATCCCTGTTTAGATTAAATAATTTTTTACAGTTACCTATACTTTCACTCTTTCGACTTCTCGACCCAGTGAATGACCCCACTTAAATTAACCGAAAGGCACGGCGTCATGAGTATGATCCAATCAGACCTTTACCCTTTAACATTGAAGGAATTTTTTCTTATATGTCGAAAACACCGGTGATTTTCTTTCGAAGCTCTTCATGACCATGAGTGCAACCTTCTAAACTGTGGGTGAAATCTCCCAAGTAAACATGCGTACCGTCGGGAGGTCAGAAGGCTTCAACAATTCAGTCAGAAAGTGAGCGCTCAATTGCCATTGTGTCAAAAGCACACTTCTTGTTTAGGCATGTGTCAGCGCAACAAGCGCAGTGTAAACACTGACATGAAACGAATGCATCTTCCGGTTCGTGTAATCGCCTTAGGCGACACCGCCATTGCTGCCATAGCCACACCCGTGATCAAGTCCAATCTCGGTCGCTGCTTTCAGTTTGTTGTTCATAATTGTTCTAATTCACAAAACAACTCCTACCCAGAATTTTATATTATCAAGGGAACTTCAGTAGAATGCTCACAATTTCTGTTCAAGTTTTCATTAGCTCACTTACAAGGGAGGTCTTTCAGGTCATGGCGCGCTTTTTAGAAATGGTTTGTTGCATGTAGGGGTCCATATAAGGATCACAAAAATGGGTTTCGTTTTTGCTATGCGTTTCTGGGAATGTCAAAAAATGAGTGAAAAGTTTGCTGAGGAAAAGCGATTTTGAACCATTTTTCTAGGCTCTTTTCTATTTCTAATGTCGAGTATGCATAGCAAATGAGACCTTCGTCGACACTGCATCGAAAACAATACAAGTGGAGGTGAAAAAGTACTTTATTACAGTGAGGTAGCATTGTAGTTTCTCAAGTGATTCTCGCAGCATCCCAACCCGCAGTT